TATTGAAATGGCATGATTTTACATGATGTGACATCTGTGCATTTAAGTGCGCATCAGTACTTTGACTGGTCGCCGCTACGATCGCTAGTGCATCAACCGAATTGCTAAGTTCTTAGCGAAAGAAAGCCAAAATCTTTGCATTTTGTGCTCACTGGACGAGAAGCATTTGCAAACACACTACGCCGCTGGCGAGGAACGGCAATAATCATAAATAGGAGGGTTGGGGGCCACTTCTTCGCGATTGTCATCGACTTGGGAGCATTTAGAATGTGCCTTTTGTGGACAGAGACTGGTGGAAATGCGAGAATTAGCATGCGAACGACAACAAGTGCATCAGCAAACACTCTCCCCTTGAGACTTCCTCTCTCCCTCTCGGACTGCTTTTGCCATTTTGCGCGAAAGTGCGGCACTCGGCGCGACCACTTCACTGCAACATAGTTTGTCATTTTGCCTATATAAGAATGGCCATTTTGGAATTCAATAGAAAGTTTATGTAGTTTGCGAATTGCTTCCAAATCCGCAGTCGCAATTCATCTCTTTCGCCCCAGAATGAGATTCTTTAGCCAATTCAACACCTCCTCCTCAAGCGATTGATCTCAAATAAATAGCAATTTGTTTATTGGGATGCCATTTGTGGGCATTAAATCGATTTTATACACCGCTCACCGGCCACATTATTTGCATTTTGCACCTCTTCTTCAAATATGCACCTCGAAAATGGAATTGAACCCCGCGCGAATGCCGCTATTTATCCACTGTCCGATGTTCAGGCTCTTCTACGGCACCGAAAAAGAATACTTTCCAGTGTAATAAAACCTACAATGTGTCATATTTGCTTTAGTTGGAGCGCAACTTTTGTTGCATGTCCGACACAGACAACAATTTGCGGGCAAACATTTGAGGAGTTATTGTTGGAGAGTGTTAATTAATTTAATTAGAGAGGCAGTAAGTTCAATTGAATTATATCAATTGCCAATTGATACATTGGATAAAAGACCAATAGACTCTCAAGCACTGTGTGTTTATCTTCTCTCGCGACAGCTTCTTATGCTCGCGCTGTCCACGGATAATAGGCGATGGATTGAATTGCAAAAGACACCTTCAGCCAGCCATAAAAGTTTATGTGATAACGCGCTGTGGTCAGAGACGTGATCCCACCTAGTAATTTGTTCTTGTCGCCTTGTTCTACTGTATAAATTCCACCAATTTTCACCTTGTCTCACGCAATCGCCAAATGCTAAAGCGCGAGGAAAATTCTCAGGTTTTAAGCACCGGCAAAACGGGTGCCAAAGGCGGCCTGAAGCAGGTAATCTAGGAAATGACTGTTGATCTTTAAAAGTCGCACTCAGCAAACCAGCATGATTGAGCTGTCGAATATGTTGAGATCATTGGCGCCAAAATTCAAAACCGGATCGGAAAAATCATTAGAAATCCTCCCAAATGTCTCGTGACGGCCTATTAGTGATGCCAAGATGGGAAAAAAAGAGAGACACGATCATGAGGTGTAGCATTAATTTAGGAACGGTGTCACATAAATCAGACTGAGAGATTTGCCGACGAAAATCTTCCCAGAAATCTCTGCAATTGAGAAGAGCAAAAACCTTGGTCAAGAAATCAACAACAAAGCGCGCGATCATTCAATTTCCTCCCCAATTCATCCTCTGCATTTAATTTCGAAAGTGAACTTGATTCTCTGTGAGCCGATCAATGGTTTGGAGAAACTACAATTATGGATTCACACAGCAAAAAGACCTTGTCCATCATCAATCATTGCAGCGCAGGCGGTTTTTGACTTATTTGCGACGTGCAATTGATCACTCAACATGTCTTGCTGCATCTCTTTCTCTTGATGAAACACCAATTTTTCAACATTGGACAGACGAAATTTGCTCCACGCCAAAGAAGGCGAAGAGAAGCGGGGAAAATATGGTCCATCCTTGCATCTTGCAAGTTCTGCTTCTCGGAACTCATTTCGTGCCCATTAACTTGCCTAATTCTCCACTGTTTTTCATGCACCTTGAACTTCAACGGAATTCGTATTCCGCAAGAACTTCAAGTGATCACCTCCAGATCAATAAATGTTAATACGAGAAATCGGGAGGAGCAAAAAAGCCGCCCAAGACGAGAACTTGTTTACCGTGGATTTGCGATAGCGCGACACTTCTTTGTTGGCCAGTTTTGGAGGAGCGCGCTTTTTTGCTCTGCTTCTTTGACATTTTTTTCATCCGATGGCCAACACAGTGGCGTAGAAAGCACAGGTGAAAATCTTTATGAGATGAACTTCTTCCTTGTGCAAACCGTGAATTTGCTACGCCACTGGCAAACGCCTTTTACCTCAGATTCAAATAGCAACGCGATCATGAGAGGTTTCACCGGAAAAATCTATACATTTTGCGGATTCTTTGAAGAGCGATAGACACGCACCTAATGAAGGTGATTAGAGGAGATATGGGCGAGAGATTAGCCGATTAACACCTCGTTGAATTCTATTCGACGAGCAAAAAAAAAGAGATCCAAAAATGGGTTTCGCAATACGCAGACTGATTTCTGGGTAAAGATCCCGCGAATAACAATGCAATGTGGCGCGCGGAGACAAGAATATTGCGCCAGAAGCGGATGAAATCTTTGACAATGTAGCATTTTGCTTCCACATTCAGGGCATGACAAGGACACAAAATTTAATGCTCCGACCCAATCAGGCCTCCGCCTCACTGTAATTGTTATATTTTCCAAGATATATAGATTGAATGGTAATTATATTGCAATATGGGAGCGCAATTGCTGTGCGTGATTGAAGCTGGGCGTTGTCGCTCTTAATTTTGCCATACCGCCATATGTGTTAACATGTAAAAATTCAAGAAAGTGACTGGCTGCGAGAGAAGGTGAATTGGAATCATATAAGAAATCACTATAAAATCTACATATAAGAACTAGACGACCTTGTCGCGTGCACATTTTAATGAACACATAACGAAATCAGAAATGAATTAATTTTCCAGTTTTCAACGTCGAAAGAAATCCACGCTGTGATAGAGAAGCCAAATGGAGGAAATAGAATGGGACAGTTTTTTACCTTCATTCATCCATCACGCGCCAGGGAAGCAATATCATTTGCTGACTGTTTTTGGAAAAACTTCTCCTCTTTTTCCACTCAATTTAACCGAATCGCAATTTTGCACGGAAAAAAGCATAACACGCAAATACTTTCTCTTTTTCTTTTCTCTTCGCGGCTCTCTTGGCAACAATGAAGAAATATTATGATAAACTATCTGGCCAGGCGATTTCCTCACGGGCCAATCATTTGTGGTTTCTTCACATTAAAGATATCAATTTATGCAGCGTAATTATGATCTTTAGGCCAAGCATCCATCTGTTGATTGTGCACCACCGAAAAATTCCGAATAAGTAATGAAGCACTGAAGGGCAAAAGTCTCCCAGAGCAGAAATTTCCACTTGCAGACAGGGAGTAGATGGTTTGGAAATTAAATAAGAAATTTTTATGCATACAAAAGGCCACAATTGCTGTCGGCTATTAAACCCCCTTATTCACACGACACTGTCCTACAATTTGCCAAACGATTAATCATGGTATTTTTCTGTTAGGTAACGAGGAAAAATTTTCTACTTATGCCGAAGCCATGGGTGAAAACCACCCGACTTCGGGTGACTTTTGACTTTGGCGAGCCAAACCCAAAACGGATCTCATCGCCAGTGTCGCCAGTATGTAAATTTTTCCCATAGAGCGAAACATTCAGCGATGACATGAGCATCGTCAGACTCTTGTTTGTGTCTAAAAAGTCACTGAGAATTAATTATGTGTCCTGAATGGGGAAATGTTGGCTTGAATGTTGGAAGGGAAATTGATTGGAATGTACAAGCTCATCAATATCTTCCTCTTCTAATGCTTTCAGTGGGAGTTTTATCACTCAATAACACTGCTTGATTAATTCACTATTGATGGGGAAAGAGTGTTTGGCAAACTCACCATCGCGATTAGCATCAAACAGCGGGAAATCCTTAAAAATCCACTCAAAACAGCACATCTATTACCCTCAAAATGATGTGCAATAAAACCACACGCGAAGAGTTTAACAAGAACCCCAAATTGATTAGCAACAAATTCTTGTCAATCAGAAGATATCATTGGAATTTCTCTTCCACACAAAGTCAAAATGAGTGCGCTTCGGTGCAAAAAGCACGTGTCATGCATCATAGAATTCTCAATTGTCGAAAGGGAAAGGTGGAACACTTTATACATAAGTCTGTGGGGCTTATACAAGAGATCTGACTGGGTGCCTTGTAATGGAGCCCCCCCGGCGAATGGGTGCACGAGATCAAAAACAGATCAATAGACACTCGCGGAAAAGCCGAGAGAGTGTCTCAAGGAGTGAATTTGCCAATTGAATTGCACAAAAGCCAACGTGAAATTCAAAACTACCTCAATTTACGGCATCCGCGGTGGCAATTAATTTAATTTGACAGTCAACATGACATAGCTTTTGTGCCACAAGACGCTGGGTGATACAGAAATTGAAGAATGGGACATCTGAGGAAAAATCAATAATGCAATTGGGCTCATGTTGACCATATTAGATCGCGCGTCTTGCCTTCGATTCTCGCGATGATAAATTGCTCGATCGTGTAGAGATTATGAACTATATTTAGAAGAAAAAAAGAATTTGCAGAGTCAAATTGACAGCAAATGTTAAATTAAGGGGAACATTTAATAAAAACCCCATAGAAAAGATAATTCTTTATCCTTATTAAATGTATGCAAATGTGGATGATTTGGAGCTTTTCAGACAACGCGTAGCCAAGCATGCAAAACATTCATTCAGATTCAACACTTCAATCTTCCATTGTTTCTCTCGCCTTTTTTCCATCTCTATTGTACACAGAAATGAGATGGAAAATTCACACAAACGCTACCCATTGAGAAAATTATCTTATCTGATGATTGGGCAGATGATCAGAGTCAATTGCATTCGCCACAAACTCACCTCATGCCATCGAATCCATCGTCTGAACCATTTATTGTAAGAACTGGTGCTCTCGCGTATGCTTTCGCGACACGACGATTCCTCTCGAAAACTATCACTTTGGCCCAAATTTCATCATCTATCTGTGTCCACTTGTCCAGAACTTCTTGTATGTGTTCCTGCAAAGACAAAAAGAAACATGCTGATAAGACACTAATTTACAACTTGTACAGTTTCTTCTTCGCATCCTCCAAGAAAAAAAACACATGTTCGCGTCTATTTTCCGCACGCCACAATGGAGAAAAAGTGAAACCAAGTACAAGTAGTCGTTAAGATTCTTATGAATTATTCATTGGGGGTATTCATAAATAAGAAGTTGTTGCCTTTTTTCCTCAATCCCAAACATTACTCTTCGCATTCGTAGCTTCCGACCGTTTTGCAAAATTCACTGAGACACGCAAAATCACACCGTGGCAAATTTCATTTCAATTCTCATCCAATTTACAATCGTGAAACTCTTCTCTGAATGCATTTCACCCAGTGAGAGAGTGGAGAAGAAATGGTGAAACACGTGACAATTCTGCCACTATTCAAGCCACAAAATCCACCGAAGAGTTGGATGAACTTTTGCAGAAGCTGCCGCGGCGCTGAATGGATGCAATTTTCTCAGCAATTGGGCGTTCAAGAAGCAAAACAAGATCATACTCTCATTGCCGACAAAATGCAACCACACGTATTTACCACATTGAGTGGCCTTTTTGCTCCCATTTCCAAAGTCAGCCCAGAGAAAGTTTTCAGGCGCGCGCGCGCACACATTCTTCGGGCCGAAAAGCTGCTGATATCGGCGCGTGATCGACATGTCTCTTGAAAAATGAAATATTCAGCGAGGACAAGGCATGACCCAGTCTCAGACATTTCCATGGACTCGTGCCTGAAAATGTATCAGCAACTTCGCCCGCGAGCAATTCGTGATCAGTGCCAAATGAAATGGAAAGGCTTTAGAGACGCAAATTCCATTGATGACGTTATGGGAAGAATTGGCGCATTTACAGGCCCATTAGCTGGACATTATTGGGCAAAACTTGTGAGGGCTAATTGGCCAAATTGTGGCCCACAGAGAGAGCCTCAATTTTCCATGGGAAAAAACCCCCACGAATTCGCGTGCTTTTAGCGACACTATCAATTTTCTCTAATTGACCAACACTCAGAACAGCCTCTGGTAATTGATACTCAACATTTCCACCAATTCTTCAGTGAGAAAGAACCACTCAACTGGTCATCGACCGATCCCTTATTGACGTCTCTTTCCTCACATCTTACTTCAACCCAGAATTGGCCAGTTTTTTGCCCATTGCATGACTTAAATTCTCTTCGATTTTTGATTTACGTTCAACACTTTTTATTCGGCTCATCGCGGCTCTTTTTTCTTCGTCTCCATTGAAACTAGATGTGGATGAATTCTGGTCAGGAAATGACAAGGTCGTCCGCAGCGTTAAATCTTCTCCCCACAAGGACGGTCATTCTCGCATCGCCAATTATACTGCTCGCGAGATGATTTACTTTTCCTCATGAGATCAACTCTGAGACCTTCTCATTCTATTCAGCAACGAAGAACTTATCTATATATACCTTTAGTCGTGGAGACAAGAAGACAAATTAATCGCAATCATCCATCGAATTAACATAAATCCCAGGGAGAGAGAGAGTTGTTATGTTCTTGCCTCAGAATTCTACGAATCGTTCTGTCGCAAAAAATGGTGATAATTAAGAATAGATGTCTCGCGATATGGCGCAAAAAAACGCCCAAACAACCTATAAATAGTGGAGTGGCAAAACAAAGCTCACGACACTGTTTGAGCTACACAGGCAAAAGTAAAAGTCTGCGAGTCATTAATCCGCGCGTTGGAGTGCACACAAAAAGATGGCAAATTAATTTGCACATAGGGGAGAGGAGAGCACTCTTGTTCACTTGATTTGAGGAGCATTCATTGCGGTGTTTCTGTGTAAAAAAAGACACACATTACGAGAATTAATCTCTTTTATTTATTGCAGATTTTCTGGTGACGCGACTGACACCTCGATTAATCGAAGGTTCAACCGATATTTATGGGGTTCTCGATGGCAGCGCGTTCGTGGTTAACCCGCAAGTCTGTAATCGCTCTGAGTTCTTTCGCAAAACGCAGTCGGAAAAAGCGTCAACGCCGAAGTATTGCTCAAGTGGACAATCCCACGAACTCGCCGCGACCTTTAACTCCCAAACTGTGCCAGACCGCGAGAGCTGGAGCAGCGTCCCGACAGTGCACACCTCCGAGAGATGGCTTGATGACCCAGTTTTCCGCTGATGCTAAAATGGTTTCAAATGCCGAGTGGCGCAAATAAATTCATCGCGTTTTGTGACCCATTTGCCATGGCAATTCTGCACGAATTGCCCGCTGTGGCTTCTTCGCGATGAAGCGCCCAGAAATCGACAGTCGTGACAGGCAATTTTGCCTCTTAAGCCCCATCACTGGGCTGAGAAATGGATTATGGAAATGAATTGGCAATCTTCATCTTCGCGCGATGCTTTTATTGATGCACGAGTAAATAATTTCATTTTAATTATAACATTCTGAGGCTGAGGATTTTGCCACCCAATCAACAAACTTGTGCTCGCGCACTTCTATTGGGGCCTCTGACAAGGGGCACCGCATTGCCAAACACCTTTCCCATGCATCTCACTTGGCGGACTGACACGACCCCTCCGCATATCGTAATTGCTGATACATTTCAGATTATTTACATTGCGCCGCGGCAGTGCAGAATGTGTACTTCAGCATTATGAATTGTGGATGCAGAAATACACACACTCAGAGTGAGAAATACTGAGAAAAATCCCAGACATTTCACATTAATATGGTTGTTACCTATAAAACTGTTATGCAATTGTAATTGAGTGCAGGAGGCAAGAAATCAGCCACTATAAAAAGTCGATGTCAGTTGGAGGAGAGAAAAAAAGGCGCACAGCTGAATAGCGGCAGAGAGTGAAACTGTGTGTCGAGAAAAACATACATATATAGCTTGTGTCATTTTGCAAGTGGATGAAAAATCCCAAATGCAGAAATCCAACAGGTGGATTGTCTCTCCATCATCATCAACCGGAAACGCCGCGCTGGTCGTCTTCGCTGCACGCGAATTGACCTGGATTTTGGCCTTTGTTGGCTTAAGAAACTCGCAGATTCCCATCATTGTCTCCAGCAGCCCCGAAAATCCCACTTTCGTTCTCACTATTTCACTTTTATCTCTCGGTCCAGGTCAACCTGCAATATTTCCGCATTGCCTTTTTTTTTCTCCACCACTTTCGTCTGGCACGACACATTCTGGCCGAGGAATTCCCATCTCGAATATTACGCAAATTTCATGTAGGCACGCGTGAGTTGTCTGTTGTGCCCCGAAAGCCTCCCCCGAACGCTCAAGATACACACGAAAAAAAAAGAAAAAAGACAGCACTGACATTTCCTCATCACGAATCTCGCACAGCCTCAAATGATATACCATTTTGCTGTACACCCGCGAAACGCAAATTCTCGCCAAGTTGAATGAATAGCAAAAAAGGCGACTCAATGAAAATATCACTGTTGGTAGAAAAATGGAAAGTCTTTCGTCGGAGCAACAATTGAACTTTTGATTTGTGGGAGTTTGCTCTGGAATAAGCGCTATACATATCATTATTTTCCAACCATAATTGAACATATAATTCACTCTGCCGTGATTCCTTCGCCGAGATAAAGTACAGTGGCGGCTCTCTTCTGTGCGGACGCCCAAAGAGGCGCACCAGGTATAATGAAGTGGAAAAAATGCACATTATGATTTCGTAGATTTATCTCAACCGCGATGTGTTTGTCGAGATTACAGTTTTTGCCGGACAAAATGACTCTATTCACTCCGCGTTGCTCCAGATCGAGCTCAACATGAAGGGAACTTAGATAATCCTAAATAATTCAGCACCAATAATTACAGACTCACTGACAATTTAGTCGACTAAAAGTAAGTCTTTAAAAAAAACGAGTGAGATGAACTCTTAATTTCGGTATCAATTTAAGTCCGTTTCACTCTTGGAACCAGAATTTTATCGCTTGGAACAAAACATTGGAAAATCCTTTTTTTTCCGAAATCGACTTTGTTTTATGCATGAAAACTACTAAATCTTAATCCTATTTAGAAAAAGAAGAAATCGCCTTGTATCAAGCATACCTCAAAATTTTATTAGAATGATGAAAAATGGTTAATTTAAGTATCAATTAAGTGGAATATTTCACGGAAATATTCTTTATTCTATATTAATCTATTCTATATTAATTTGATGCAAAAACAGTATCAGTTTAAGTTTATTAAATTCAGGCTAATTTCAAGACCTGAATTCAAGAGTTTTTCACTCGAAATCTAAGGACAAAAAACACGTGCTATTGAAGACACAATTTTCCAGATCAGGTCGTCAAGTGAGACAGAGCGAAGGAAACTTTCTTCTTTTGTGATACCGCAAAGAATCCGTCAATCGTAAAAAGAGAAATATAGACTAACTCCCATGTCATTACAGAACTCAATTGCTTTCTGCTCCAGTTTACACTTGATAGCTCTAAGATCTTCAAAATCTCACTCTGAATCTCCCGAAAATATGGAGATTCACCGTGAATGAGAAAGAAATCTGCCGAAAATGGAAATTATGTAAAAAAAAGAATATCATCCGTGGCGAATGAAAGAAAATTGAGAAGCAATTCAGCACCACCAATTTAATATTGTAATTGAGATGGAATTGTGCAACGCGTGAGCACGAATCCTGGGGTGTTGAGAGTGAAAATAGAAGAAAAAAAGCCACGATTGAACTTCCAAGAGTGGCTTTTGATCAGCCAGAGATTGTCTAACCACCTGATGCAATTAAATCTAATAACTTGGTATGAAATTTAATTAAAATTCACCCAATGTTGAGTGTTTGCTATCTGGCTGGAAAATCAAATGTTTCAGTTCCACAAGACGTGCACTTGCCAATTTGAGAATCTGGCTCAATATTGTTGCTTCGCGCGAAAGTTATTTTGATATGTTTTATTTTTTCCCCCAACAATATCTCTCACGTGAAATTCCATTGGTAATCAGACCATGGCGATTCTTGCTTGCCAACTCGCGGAGAAACTTCCATAAATGCTGT